TTTACCTTTCCTTCTATGCTACGGATATCCGCCGACCTGTCTACTGTTTGTACATTTCATTTGATCTATTATCGCTTCGGTAAACACCTTTGAATAGATAAGGCTCTTCAATTGTCTCGCTCAATAGAAAGGTACACAAAAGAATGACCGCGTTTTCTAAAGCACGTTTTCGAGATAAAGTCTCGTTCACATGACATGAAGTTTGCATTATAAGCATACAAGGTCTCGTACACGCCAGCAAGCATTGCGAGACTACAAAATGGCAGTGCCCCTGTCACCGAATGTAAACAAACCGCGAGATTGCATAAACGCTTATCTATGGCATGGAACACCAAAATACGATAAATAATTTAAAAAAATGTGTTTCTCCGGAAGAAAACCGGAGGTTTTCAGGATTTTTAGAAATATCCGGATTTCCGGATATATTCGGAAGACTTTCATTATTATTAACACCAGATATTACAAATCTTAAAAACTACTTTTTTGGATGGTGTTTGACTACAAGAATGGAAAAGATACCATCAAAGTACCATGAGAATGCAGTACACTAGAGTACTCAGAAACATGTATTTAAGTACATTTATAATGAGTATCAAATTCAATAATGCCAGGTCTGCTAGCATCTCAGATTATGGTTTATTGTATGGTTTTAGTCCAAAGATGGGTAAGAGTGGCTATTTCATGAGAAAATATGAAACATAAACACTATCTAGCAGTTGAGATCACTGTTTGTTGTATGATTTTACTGGGAAGGTAGTACATATGCCCTGTTTAGATACTGAGATCACTATTTACTACTGATTTAAGATGGGTGTTAGGGGCAGTTGTTTATTAACAACAATAAAAAAGTAGGTTTGTAGTTGTAATGGGAGGTCACATAGGCTAGTTGTTTCGAGTTCAAATTTAAATCCAGTTACAAATAAATTTATTTTAAATCCAGGTACACAGTCACTAGGGGAGTACACAAGTCACCAACTCAAGGAAGTTTACAATTGGAATAAAGAATTGACTTGTAGAATGATATTCCAAACACAAACAACACTTTAATGTAATATATTTAGATACTCAATTACACTGAGATTACCAAAGGTATCTTGAAAAGTTTCACTATTAAAATTACGAAATTCTTCAGTCTGAGCAGGTAACCGTTCTTCAAGTAAATTTTCAATTATACTCTTTAACTTCTTCACTACAATAAATATAATAACAATTATAGCATAAATTTATATATATATGCTCAGACGTCATTTACTTTCCTTAATATTGTTACGTCTGTGTATGTTTGTTTGTAATTTTTCTGAGATACAAGTCCTTTCTTAAATAAAACTTTGTTTATTCTTCCTCAATACAACTTTGCAATACACTTAATTTTCACAGTTACTTTAACTTAAACACATACTATAATTCACAACAATTCACTCACTTTCTACCGCACTTGACTCAATTGTCTGTCTCTCTCCGCCTGTCAGCAACTATAGTTTCGATTTCTGTATCTGCTATCCTCGGTTCCCACTGACCATAACTGCTGTCATTGGTTCCCCACTCTCTCTCCTTCTCTCTGCCCGCCTCTGCTTCGTCTGTCTCTCTCAATGTCTAGCACACTTATATACGATAATACCACCTGTTCTAGAATCTTCTAGGCTCTCAACACGTGCTACCAGCGTCACTTGACTTCCATTGTCGTAACACACTAGCGTTTAACACGAATCTTCTAGAATACTCGTCATGTGACCCCTGTTGTCGTAACAATATTAAACAGTTTACATCCATTTATTAACTAGGTTAATTGACCAAGAGAGGTAGCATGAGATACTTACATGGAGCTTGAATGGTAGACATTTTTAGTTTCTTTTAATATAGGCATCTTCAAAGAAATTCTTGGCTTTGGTACTGTTGGGTCAGCTAACGTACTCACTTCAAATAGCAGGTTTGGTGGTATCTGATAATGAGCCAGGGGACTGACTTTTGGGCTAAAAATAGGACTTTTTATACTTGATATTCAGTATTTCTACAAGCATTCAATTAGCTGTATGTGCTAGTTCTGCAAGTAGATCCTTCTTCTGATTGGTTAACATTCACTGTCTTATCAAGCCAAAACTAACTGTTACCTAGTTGCAAGCAAATGCTATAGGATGGCAACCTGTTTTCATGCATTTCTCGTCTTCTGTCCTATCAAAGTTCTGCCAAGAGTCTCTGGTTTCCTTTCTAAGTCTTTTTATAGAATTCGTTTCCTGCCTTTAATGAAGTTAACATAAGCTTTCTCTTTACTACAGTTGTGTCTGTTTATGTAGATGAAATAAACAGTGGGTTCTCAATGCTATCTGGAATGCATTTTAATTTGTACTTGACATATACATTTCCTGTCTTGGTTAAGCATTGTTATATAGCTTCTCTTATGCATTCTTTGGATGTGCACAACTTTTCTTCATGTTGCATGTATGTATGTCATACATGTACTTTTTTATAAAAGTATATTTCTTATTTCTTGAAGCATTTGAAAATAGTATAAAATGCTACAAATGCTTCATCCCTCCCTCCTTAAAAGAAACTTTTATCTCCAATAAAAATTTTATCACTAAACCTCTACCTTCTCTCATTGTACTGAACAATGTTTACAATAACTCATCTAAATATATTCTTAATTCGAGTTATACAATATCCCAAATTTTAATATTAACCTTATAATTAATCAAAAAATTAACCACTTCCATCGTAGCATGAGAATCATTTATGATAATCTTTACTCACTAATTAATACCACATAAAATTCAAAATTAAAAAATGTTTATTTATATTGCTAATATTAATAATATACACATCATTACATGTTTATAATAACATATGATTACACTTCCTGTAATATCATTACACATGATTTGTATATCATCTCATATATTACAATATAATAAAATTATAAATCAATATTTTCTTTACTATTATGTTTGTTAAGCATGTAATAACCAACATTCATAAAGTATTAAACAGCACTTCCTTAAATTGCAAAATCAGAATTACTTATTATTAACCATACTACTTCAAAAGACTAATCCTTTACGAATTCACAGTAGTTACTAAAAATTCATACATAATATACCCTCATAAATTAATTAATTCATGATATTATCCTAGTTATAACTCTTTTACTGTAAACTCATTACATGTTTGTATATTCATTGCTTACTAATACAAACTTAATTAGAAATAATTGTATAAATCAAGTAACAATCATTGTCTTTTTTCTTTCATCAACTTCAGAACTTGCAACCATAAAGATGAAATACACTACTGTTGATCATCCAATCATATAAGGCCCTTTCGTTTGGCATAGTGTTCATCTGGATCAACATGATAGTCACAATTTATAGGCACTGAGTTAGGTGCCTATTGTCAGGGCACCTGAAGTCTTCCACATTCACACATGGCAAGTCCATAATTTTTGAAATTAGTCTAGTCTTTTCCATACCCTTCGAGTACAGCTTGGTATAGTCATATTTGATTTCTCTACAAATGTCTATAAGATATGAAATTATATCGCTCCTCTTCCTAAATGGTTAGATTTTTATTCTGTACACTTTCACAACTCAAAATCCCTCTATCTCTATTATTGCAAATTTCTCTTGTTTTCCTGTAATGGCAATTTTTATGGTCAAAACGAAATGTCAGCATCAACAGTACCTTGTACATGATCCTGATTCTTGTTTCTTCATCATTGTTCTGACACATTCATTCATGATTTTCGAGTTGTTTCGATTCACTTTGCACACATCAAGTTTTCGATCACGTTGTTTTTCAATATCATTTCTCTCATTCTTCTTTCTGATAATGATTAAGTACTCCTATTAATTTTGCTCTCTATTATTTGTGTTTCATTATTCATTAGACTAATCGATTCATTAGCTAATCTAATTTGGTAATCAGTATCTACTATTTGGTATCCACTATTTCTTAGTTTGACTATTCTAGTCTGATAATCAAGTCAATGCACATCAAATTTGGGACATAGTACTAATAAACTTAATTCAGTTTTTACATTAAATAATCATGTTCCTGGAGTTTTTGTCTTAAAGAAATAAAAGGGTTTGGGGATAATCACTCTCTTTTCACATAATTTTGTTCTTCTGAAAATACAACATAGTTACAAGTTACTATGGGCACTGAATAAATGGGTCTAAATAAGTATACTAATCACTGGAAACAGCGAAATGTGGGTTTTCATTCTCTGTAGTTAAACCAAAAGAGTTGTTCAGTGCCAGTGGTAAAGGTACAGTTCCGTATAAATTGATGTCCTATCTGTTGCTTTTAAGGGTATCTCTATAAACATCCTTAAGATATCCCTAACTGCAGCTGTTTTTACATTGGCCCATGTATAATAAACGTAAATCTGATCACTATATGTGGGGATCATAAACTGTAAGTATGGGGGTAATCTTTGAATTTCATCTAACACTCTTTCCAATTTGCTTGGGGGTAGAAAGTATTTACTGCAGTGCTTGTACTAAGTTAGCTAACTCAGTCTTCCTATTTCCTACAGTAAACTAATTGTTGCAAATGATTCTGAATCCTAGCATTGAAAATCAGCATCTCAGCTCTTACTCTGTTTAGTTCAGTTTGTTCAATCATAGCATGTATTAAAGGCATTAGTGATATTTAGTAATGCTTTAGATACTTTCTTAATCTCTTGATCATGAAATTCAATTGTCTGATTTAATGAATTCATTATAGTTGCCTGTTTACCTATCAAGTCAATAATTTCTCTGGATATTTGTCTCTGACGACCTACTTTCTCTATTTAACTCACATAAGTCATCTGTAGTTGCAGTTCCGAATAAAAATATTAAAATACTTCCACCTGTATTTATCAAACCATATTTTCATCAATTTTGGTCCGATATCAATACACTGTCTTTAATATCTTTTAGTTCTAATAATAGATCACCTATCTCATCATGATATTGTCTAATGAGTTTCTTATAATTTTCAGTTAATCCCATGTGTATTACTTTTACTCATTTCAAGGTAGCTGTTTCCTGATATGTCATATGGTATTACATCATATTCTTTGCATTTTTTGGATAGAATCTTGCACGATTGTCAACCTTAAATGATTTCTCAAATGTTACTAAGTCTTCTTGTAAATGAATTAACAACTGAATATATTGCAGAAACAGTTTGTCCTCAACAATTATCCATTTATTTCCAGATAATATAGAATTTCCTCCTTCAAAAAATACTATACCCACCTTATTTAAGGCTCATTTAAGGGTTTCATCAGTAATGCAAAATGTGGTATAAATCTTCTGTAGAATCCTACACATTTTAAAAATGTAAGAATGTCTTTAATTGTTTTAGACTCTGGATAGTTTTTTCAAACTTTGAGTTTCTTTGGCTTAGATTTTTACACCATTTGTGGTTACCATGTGACTTAAATATTCTACTTCTGTTTTTTAAAAATTGCCATTTATTTGGCTTAAACTTCAAAGTTGCTTTCCTCAACCTGTAAAATACATGTCTTAATCTTTCTAAGTGTTCTTCAAAACTTGCATTGAACACTATTACAATAACAGAAGCTGAAATCTTGTAATCTTACTAATAGTACATCCATTAATCTTTGAAATGTTCAAAAGGGCCCAGCAAACAACTTAGCATTACCAGAACGTTATGGGAGTATTTACAGATAGTATACAAGAAGGTTACCTGGGAATGTTGTCCATTAATGCTGGTGTAAACAATATGTAACATTCATTAAAAATCTATATAAATTCATCTTTAAATTGGTTATTTCTCTGGCATTTATTACTCATCTTGGAATTAATTTTACAATGATGGTTTATACAAAATTATATTATTTCCACTGATCAGATGTCTTCGCTTTGCCGTCTGTTTCTGAAATAAAAAAAATAAAATAGTATAAGCCTTTTTAAGTTCTGAAGCTCTTATTAATTTAATTTAAAAAGGATAATTTTCCATGTAAAGCTTAGCAAAATTGTGTGATCTTCATGGATTCATGCATGTTATTTCTGAACATCTTGCATTGAAATCCTATTTAAATATTCACTTTCAATCCGTGTTTGAGTTCTGTGTCTGTCTATAGAATTAATTTGCTAAATGATCTCAATGCTATAACTTATACTTTAACCTTTAAAGTTTGCAATTTTACATATTTCAAAATTTGGATTCCTATTAATTTGGTGTTTCAGTGTTTTCTCTTAAATTTCTTGGCAGAACAAGTTAAAGGATTGGTAAACAAGCATATGTAATTTCCTTTAAAATAGTGACATGTTGGTATTTAAAACCAGATAATCAGGCTCTGAATGTGTAGAAGATTTTTTTACCAATAAATCTGTCAAATCAATAAAAGAGGTACTTGTGAATCCCATGTAGGGGATATGGTATGCTTGAAACACATTACAATAAATCAGTTTAGTACTTCTAACGATTGTTTATTTCAAATGAACAAGCTTACATGTGGACAAAATACCCTTTGTAAGTGCAGGCTGCCTTCACAGTTAGGTATTTCCTATTAGATAAGTACTCACACTATTCTGTGGCATTTCAAAAATAGTTATTTTAGCTTGAAACTAGTATGACATGAAATAACAAAATCTATAATATAATCACACACATACATATATATTATTACTTGATGTACAAGATAATAAATGCATGTGGCAACTCAAAGTTGCAAAAGTATACTTACCAATGCCTTTCTGTAGCCTCTTATCTTTTTATCTTTTCACATTCTTCTTCTACAGTTTGCCACTGGTCATTGACAACTTCTTCAGTGTCCTGACTTGGAATAAAACACCCAAGAATTCATTGCAGCATGCTCAAACCTTTCCATTGATTCTCAGTTACAGAATCGAATTTCATGAGCACCTGCATCTGAAAATCTAATTAAAAGCTGTCAGTAACTGGAAGTCAAGCAAACACAAATAAAACTTAGCCTATTTTTATCAATATTTGAAATTTGATTTATGACAACATTGTTTCCGTTTATGTATTTCGTCATTCTCGAACATTCACGTAATTTTCCTTAAATCTCGTGATTCTTCTAGATATAGTGTAGTCTTGTATATATAAGACCGGCCACGAAGCGACGAGGTAATGAGTAATTGAACTGCAGTCAGTGAATGTGTAATTGAACTAAGTATTGTTGGAGTCGAGCACATACGTTGAGAATTAGAGCACGACTGTTGAAATTAAGTGTATCGAAAGTTATTTTCAGAAAGAATAAACCAGTTTTATTTAAGAAAGGACTTGTGTCGCTAAAGTTTCGTCGGAACGAATTTACGGAAAATCAATTAACAAACAGAGACGTAACAAATTGGTGTCAGAAGTGGGATAAAAAAATGGAAACGAGAAGCCGCAAATCAAACCACAGCATAGCAGACTTGATGGCAGCAATACAAGAACAGCAAAAGAAACAAGAAGAACGAGCAAAGAAACAAGAAGAACAAAAAGACAAATTACAACAGTTGTTACAAGAAAAAGAAAAGAAACAAGAAGAGCGAGCAAAGAAACAAGAAGAACAAAAAGACAAATTACAACAGTTGTTACAAGAAAAAGAAAAGAAACAAGAAGAGCGAGCAAAGAAACAAGAA